TAATCTCAAATTAGTAATAGTGTAAGTATGTTAGTTATTATACATAAAAGTTTGTAATCATGCTTTTGCCTTGTAGTAAGTATATAAGTGACATGCATGTGTTGGGATAGTTGCGCTTGCAATGATCACAAATGTGACACATTGTCAGTATGCTGGTTATTGTTTATAAGTGTAAATAACTATTTGTACGCTTTTACCCTGTAGTCAGTATAAAATCGATAGATATGATGTGAGATGCGCTTGTAATCTCAATTTAGTCATATATAATATATATATTGGTACTCACGCTTCTGTCCTGTATTCAGTATATTACATAAAATGTATGATAGAACTCATGCTAAGAATATTATAATGATATACAAAGGTATTCATGCTCAGTATATGAGATATAATATATAAGGATACTCATGCTTATGTCCTGTAGTCAGTATACTAGATATAATATTAGCATATAAACGTAATAACATTCTTGTCCTGTAGTCATACATGTTATAATATATATTCTCGTATTTTGACTCAAGTACTCTTCCTTTAGTGATTTAATTGATTGAAGTAGATGATGAGGTATAATTATTGTCTCTGTGTGACGATATGCCATATGATGTCAACAGTACTTGAATTTACCCCGACGGTTCATCCTGCGTGTTGATATCTTTAACAGTTGCCCCATGTGCATAATAATTAAACATTTGTACCAGCATTTTCGTCTTATTGAGTAATGCACTCTGATGTATATGTGTAGCGTGTACCGAGCTGTTGGTTATTTAATCTATAGCTACAAAATAAAATCACAATGTTTTCGAATAATCTTGACATTCTTAAATGCAAATACATGTAATTTTTCTCGGGATACTTATCCTTATGATTGGAAAATAACTAAACAAAAATCATTCATTGCAAAATAACAATCTTAATCTACTTCTTAAATCATTCAAAACTGTATATTCCAAAAGAAACAATTTATTTTCTCAAAAACAATTCTCAAACAAATACCAGTCGAAAGCTAAACCTATCCTTCATTCCCCTACTTTTATATTTCAACAATCTCTTATCCAAAAATATCAATACTTCAAATAATCATTCAAATAGTTTCTCATTGTTCTTTTGTCTTAAAAATATAGCATCCTTAGTACCAGATATCTGAGATTTCTGCGTACTAGTAACTATAAGCTTTAACTTCAACCATAATATTTCTAATCAACCGTTTGCCCGAGAGGTCTTACTGAAACAATAGAACATTTCAGTACCAGATATCTGAGATTCTGTGTACATGAAAATGCTACTATCATTACGATCCAACTCTTACAAGGACATAACCAAACATATTCCTTAATATACTTAAACTAAACAATTACTCAGAGATTTGACAGATATAGTAAAACGTCCTTAGTGCCAGATATCTGCGATTTCTGTACACTAGCATGTATTTACTACGTCGTTCCCTTCTATTCACATACATATTCAAACCAACTTAAAATACCCATTTCTCAAACTTTCTTCTATCGAACGTTTGTCCATGAGGTTTCACAGAAGCAGCAAGATATTTTTAGCACCGGATATCTAAGATTCATCGGCACTAGTAAATATAATACTGCTCTGATCTGCCTCACGGACGAAACCAAACTGAATCTTTTGCACTGCGAACGCTCTATTTATACTAGTGATTGAACCATCTCCGCAGTGAATAAAAACAATGATTTTGATTGGCTAATAAAAATAAAACGTTTCTTGATACTGATTCTAACAAAATCTTATAAGCGTCTGTTACTTAAAGTTATTTCTCTTATGAACTACTGTGAACAACAGATAAACAATTTCAAATATAAACACTTTGGAGGATACCATAAAGTTATACTGATTTTAAAGGTTAAAATGATTAAAATACCTACTCTTTATACATGATATATTTACAAATACATGATTAGATTTTTCCAATATAAATGGCGAACTTATAGAAAGGGAAGGCAATAAAGTTACACATAAAGTACGTTTCCGTCACATATGATGCATTCTTATTATCATGGAAAATATTTAAGTTTGAAAGAAAGAGAAAAAAAACAGAAAAGGAATGGACAAGTATACATGTCTGGAAACAAACTTTGTTGTTCATCGTTCGAAAAGTATATGAGTTATTAGCTATCATTTGTTTTGTATATTTCATTCGAGCAAATGTAGGGGTAATAACATTGAATTGATTTGCTTAGAATTTTCCCCATATCTTTTGGTTTGAATTAGTAATATTGAGTAAATTTTGCTATTATAGATTTTTTTCCGATGGCTTAATTGTACTCGTAAGAACAACAGAGCAGAATATTATTCCTAATGGTGGAAGTTTGAAACCTCGACTAATTCTATGTTAAAATTTCTTATTTGTTTGTTTTTCATAATTCAAAATTGATCAATAGATTGTTTGTTAAAATGTCTGTTTGATTCTTAATTTTATTTTATTTACAAAATCTTGGAAGTGTTTTGAATTAATAATCTCAAGAAAATATAACAACACTTAAATAAAGTAATACGTTGGTGGTAGTGTTATATGTTACTATCCATATGGTTTAGTTTGTAATCGGATAATTACTTCCGCAAAAATAACAAGATGTCACAGGATATTGAATTATGTAAGATCAGTATTGTCAAAACACTTGTCAATCTTTTGATTGTCTATGTTGTAAATAAATTGTATAGATATAATAAAATAAAATAGTAATTAGTCTTCAGTGTTTACAGTTCTTATTCAACGATAAAAAAACTGTTATCTATAGCGAAATGTTGTTTTCGCACACACAATCTATAAATTGTATTGAACTGAACTCTTTTGGTGGGTATTACGTCCCAACAACAAAGTAGAAGTCATATGGCGAATGTCATGCTTCATTGGTTCAGCAAGACTTCAGATGCAGCACAGTGCATTACTTCGTACATAAACGTACATTTGAGTAAACCTACCGTCGTTGCGTGTTCAAGCTATTATTTCCTTATGTTTGAAAATTCCAAAGACCAATGCAACCTTTGAACCCACATCGGTGAGAAACAATTGAACTGATTTGATTTCAGTTGGATTGAACTAGTGAAGAAAGTGATTCTATACGTCAGAATCTGCATTGTTAACAAGAGTCGGTAACCTGTAATATAACAGGACATTATAAACATATGTTTATAAAAATTAGGCTATCTGGCTAATATGACTAACCATAACATTGAAGTAAAGTCAATTTCAAAGTCTAAAGTGAACTTATTATAAACCGACTAAAACGTTATTAAGAAAAACAAAATCATTCAATATTTAGGGCATCCGTTACAGACAATATTTATTTGAAACATTACATCAATCTTGTATCTAAATATAATAGGATGTTGATTTGGTGCCACGTAGGTTAGAATTATATTTAGCTCATAGGACATGATTCATAACACTTTTAGAGAGAACCACAAAATTATGGTTTTAATAAAGATATTCGTTTGCTTTATCTTTGCACATGTGATATATGTTCCGATAACACAATTAGATTGGTAGTACTATATCTCAAGGGCGTAGCCCAAATTATATTAAGCTCAAAACGACACGCATTGATTTAATCAATAGATATAATCATTTATTGGAAAATTTAATTCTGATTATAATACAATAAAACGTATAAATGCAGTCGTATCTGACATCAAACTAAATTGTGTTTTATTGATTTTTGTCTCCATTTTATGGTTTCGTCACAATCTTAAATATGTATCGTCACCAGTGATGTTTTTTCTGCATTTTTTGCCATTTTCTGTTATATATAGGGGGAAGCACGGTTCACAAATCTCAAATCTCCAAGAAATTTAAACTATAAATATATTTTTAAATTCGTGTAAGTATTTATACTAATATTTCCACAAAAAGTGGAGTGAGCTTTTTAGAAGTAAAATGTCAAAAAAACATACACTTTCACCACAGGTTCATACATTTAAAAAGAAAACATCATTAATTTCTTATAGTCCAATAAATAACATCTACAGTAAGGAAATTGTTTTATTGGAAGAAGACCTACACCAAAACGTTTTGCGACGTGTTGAATGATACACTTGCCTGTATCGGATCTAAAGCTACAAATAGAAAATCGAATTTGTCCTAGGACATTTACCATTAATAACACACATTCCACTGCCTGTACTGACCGACACATATTTAGCGAGTTTACAATGACCTTGTCCCACATTCCAAACAATTGAAATCGTGCAATATACAAATGTACTAAATTTTGTAGTATTCAAGATCTCGCGAGATATTCATTCATAATATTTTCTATGACACGTGCAGACGGTCGTAGCAAGACAGTAATTTGTTCGAGCGCTGTCTATGTTCATTTTAACGTGATTTTTTTTTCTCCTTCTGTCTGTTATACAAAATACCGATCACCTTAGTTTTGTGTGTGGTTTTATTTTTTTTGCTTGTTTTGTTTATTTTACAAAGAATTTTCTACTTGTTTAAATTGTAGGTGATATCATGTACCTTATTTACATATGATTTACGGGCACAGAACTATAATAACCTGTGTTGATATATGCAACAATAAGTTATGTATTCTAGTGGTGAGAAAATAGATGTCCCCATGTTGTTTAACAATTTAACGCTTTTTAATTAAACAGAAAAAACCCACATTTATACCATTGTATTCAGTTATACTGTTCTATGTAACGTGACTCAAAAATAAAATTATTTGTTGTTGTTGTTGTTGTCGTTACCAAATAAAGGACCAAGACCATTTCAATAAATATTTGTATCTTTGACATGAATTATTTCAATTTCGTAAGAAAAGTGAAGACATACAGTCCCACGCGATATAATCCACAATCTGTTTATGTTTTGCTGCATGGCTATTAGGACACTGAACATGTATTATCATAAGAGTTGTAACTTTCGACCTTTTCTTTGAAACTGTATCTGTTCTGGTCTTAAGACTGATTTGAGATTTAGGACATGAGACTTTCCATGATATATTCATAAGTAGTTAAATGCGTTTTTACCATCTATTCATCTTACGCTTGTTTCTTTATTACTGATTGAATTAATATTATTTTGGTATCTTATTAGAAGAATGAAAATGTTAAACGTAACAAGTGTTAAACAATAAATTGATAATATAGGTACTTATGGTATAAATACACTTATACAAAGCGTCCGTTTGCAAAATCCTTAACAATACAAACGTGTTTAAAGGCATTAATATCGATGTACAGCATGGGAAACAAAAGGAAAAGAGAAAAATAAGAACAATGGGGGCAACTTCGACAACAATAGAGAAAACAACAATTTAATAACTAGCATAGAATTTATATCAATAACTCTTATTTCCTATTAAATCGCATTTTATAACCTTAAACTATCTAGATATCATGTTTGATCAATTGATTTGTTATCACAACAAAACAGTTGCCTCTTTTACAGAAATGCAAATAACGCACAATCATACATTTGCATGTTCTTCTATTAAGAAACCTTTTATTTTGTGCATTGTTATTCTGTATATATTAAATACTAATGTTAAAGCTTAGAACAAAAAAAAAACGTAAGAAAAAGAGAGAGAAAAAAGGGGAAAATATCCAACTGAAAAAAAAGTCAAATCTTTTTAGCTTGTTAGGGGAGTCATATTTTCATCAAGATGACGAAAAAAGTCTTCCGCAGTGTTGTTCATTATACAATCATACATTCCAGTTTTGGTATCAAAAGCAATGTCAATAATCTTAGACTTTGGAGATTTTTTAAAAATGCTGTCGCTCTTTATTTTCGCCTCTGTAGGTATTCTTGGCTCTTTCCCTTCTCTAACAACATGCAAAACTATCAATATTGTTCTGTTGCGAACGGCTCCTGTAAGATAATAAATCAAACGAAACTGCATTAATTTCTCCCTTAGGATACATATGCAGTACTTCAACATCTAAAGTGAATGAAGTTGATTTTTTGTTTAAGGAGTATGTAAAAGAATACAAATAAAATACTTTTTAGAATGAGAATGTTGTTTTTTATTTCATTAAATCAAACTGTTACTGCAAAGAATCATTGCTAAATGGTAAAGAAATCATTACGAGCAAAAAAGTAGCACAATATTTTGTTTTGCAACATTTTTATTTTGTTAACGCGCAGTTTGTTAAAGCGTGTACATTATATCATAATATAAAGTAATTTTTATCAACGACAAAATAACATTGGTTCCAGAATATAAAAGTTGATTCTATAAGTTTATTCTATAAATACAGGATATGTTTTCATCGAGCGGTATGGAAATACATATTTCACGAGTGGCAGTAGCCAAAAGTGGAATATGATCATTTTTATACAACAAGATGAAAATAAATCCTGTACTGATGAAAAAAAGTTGAATTTAATGTTTATCATCTACCAATTGCCTTTTTAACCTTATGATCAGGAAGAATTCCCTTTAAATTGTGTGTTATCGAAGAATTTAGAAAAAAGTAGTCCGATTAGACACCAGTGAAAATACGAAATATGTTTCATTGAAGTGAAAAAATAAATTTTTGGAGTAAAAAATACGAAAATGAAAAATACGCATGTTATTTCATCAATAGTACTAAAATAATTCATTAATTAGTAAATAATAAATGACTCTCGATAATGATTGTGTATTGCAATTACAATAAAAAATAAGATATAATAAAAATCATTGTAGACGAGTAACGTGTGTCATTACATGAATTACCATGCTATACATCGCACCAAAATTATGTAAAAATTCACCTTACAGCGCTAGTCATGCAGTAGAAATATGGTGATAAATACTCTAGTTATATGAAGCACACAATGTGTTAATTTGTTTGAGTCTTTAATGCTTTTCCTTGTCTTAAAAATCTTAGAACCTGTTTCTCAAGTTTGACGTTCCGAAATATTTTGGCTCATATGAAGGGCATGCAGCTTTAAAATCATCAAATCATTAAATATTTTAAGAATAACATACTTAAGTCTTCATCACAGCAACTATTTATGTCAGATTCAATGCGGGATGTAGCAATGCAAACTATTATCAACAAAAGATCATGGTCGAGGTTTTTAGCTTCTCTGGGCTCCTTTACATCAATCTCGATTCCCAAATCCTTCATTTTGTTTTGAAATATTTCAAACAAAGGTTGACTGTGCATTCGAGTTAGACGGGGTGATCAAATAAACCTTTTTTGTAGGAGTCTCCTACAAAATTAATAATTCGTTAGTGCTTTAGAAAAACGGAAACAAATAATCATTTCAAATATTATAGAATGATCAAATATAATGTAATATATCGAATTAAGCAATATTTACAACTATGGACAAAGAATAAAGATGACGAACCATATTTGCTCTCGAGACCAATGGTGCATCTTTGCTCAGTTTCAAATTGCTTGACTTTGAAATCAGAGAAGTTTGTCCCTGGTCAAAGGCATTATCCATTGGATCTCCATTTGTCTCCATAGGAGCGGCAGGAACCATGGAATCTTTGAGATTCTTTGTCTCCTTAGGGGAAGCTAGAACCAAGGAATCATTGAGATTCCTTGCTTTTTTAAGGAGCAGAAGAAACCATGGAATCTTTGAGATGTTTTTCTTCCTTAGGAGCGCAATAACCATGGAATCTTTGATATTATTTTGTCTCCTTATGGGGAGGCAAGAACAATCGAATCTTTGATATTCTTTATCGTCTTAGGAGCGGCAGAAATCATAGAATCTTTGTTATTCTTTGTCACCTTAGGAGCGGCAGGAACAATGGAATCTTCGAGATTGTTTGTCTCGTTAGGAGCGAACAGGAACCATTGAATCTTTGAGATTTCTTTGTCTCATTAAATGATGCAGAATCCATTACGTCATGTGGTTGCATTCTATCCCGATTAGAGGTAGAAACAATCAAGCTTTGGGCCTGATTTACCTTATGGTTAGAATGACGAAATTCCCTACAGAACTGCAAAATGTGTCTTATTGCTTTTTGTATTCGTATCACACGGATATATGTTACTTTCGTCGAAACCTATGTCTACCACCTTTCCAATATTTCTAACTGTTCTATCCCTTTAATCTCGCTACATGAAGACAGTCTTGGAAGTTTATCCTCTCTCGTAACGTGTAGAATAATCAGAATAATGTTTTTATAGTTATCTTCTGAAATATATTGTTTGCTAATTTTTCGTGGAAATTCCATAATAAATTTAAAATAAATTTCAAAAATGTGCCAATACCGGCAAAAATGATAAAAATTCTACTGTCTTTTTTTAAATTCGATTTAATTGATATTTATATGGTTAAAAATATCATCTTTATATAATCATCATTATAACTGTTTTTTTTTTGTTTTGATATGTATTATCTTCTTAAACAAAGCGTTAAATTCGAAAGTCTACATTTAAAACTTAGCTGAAATGCGTTATCAGTAAGATTTAATGTAACAACAACACAACTTTGTATCCCTTTTCGTAATATAAAATTCTCAGGCCAGAAAAAATGTCAATACCAAGGGAAAACATATTAACTGCCATCGAGTCATAATGGTCCTTTAATATTGGATTCTAGGAAATATTCCTTTTGAATCAATTATGTAACTTCAAAAGGAAATGTTATATGTTTGACTTTAGAAAATTAATTTCTGAATATGAATCAATATTCCAGTGGTTAAAAACTTGATGTATAGTATTTACTTGACGTCTGTTCTAAAACTTCATAATGTAGATAAATAAAGTGTTACTTACTTCAAAGTTTAATTTGACTCTATATTTAATATAATAATTTAAAAAGAATAACTGTTACACATAATAACCTGGTATGTCTTTCAGACACTGTTCAACAGTGGTATGAGTGATCCGGACAGGAATGTGTTTGCAAACAAGAATTAAAATTGTTGTTGGATGTGTCCTTCAAATGTTTCAATAACAGTAAGCATCAATGCGACCCTGTTTTTTTAACTCATACCGCAACGTGTTCGCAAACTTCGAGGATGCCGTGGTGCTTCTAGTAACAAGTATTGTACTGGACTTTGTGACATATTGTACGGTTCTAGAAAATAATGATAACATTGTGAAAAACTGTTAAGTTCTTTAGACATATTTTATTAGATATATAATGGTTGACTTTCCTGATTGAAGATTTTGATAATTCCAATCAGTATCTTGATCATTTTTACATAACAAGTATTGTAAAGAAAATATACCATGGAATAAAATAGGTAAAAAAATAGATGTTACACCGACCGGTAGTGAAACAAGTTGAAATGTTTGACATGTTCTCATTTCTATATTTGGTGTATTGGCCTGAATTTGAATATTCAATGACCCTTTGTCGTTAATTTATCGGATTTTGAAGTAAACCATACGTGTCTTTCTATATGATACAACGCTAAAAGTGTAACTAACCAGCATACCACTTGACTGACCAGCTTCAGTCAGTGTCAGTGATCAAGTGTAAGGTGTCAGTTGAAGGTTTGGATCAAATGATTTTTTAAATGCTTTCTTGTATGATTTTTATCATATTTTGCAAAACTTTACCACTATGTTATATGCATGCAAGTCATTCATTGATAGAAATTAATGAAATAAAAAAAATGAATGTAAAATGCTATTAAAAAGACACGTGTGTTTCATATAATAAACAGACATTAATAATCAGTTGATGAAAACTACAAATAATATTCGTCTGGAATTTGAACTTGCATGGTTACAATTCCGCCGTTTTTACCAGCAGGCCATCGAGCAATATTTTATTGATTAATGTATCGACATCTATACAATCATAAAATCTTAAGCGTAACTCATAACAAAGTAACGTAAAATAACGAAAATAAACAAGTCTTTTTTTTGTCATGTCAATTTTGACAAACAAGAACAAGCCTATCAACGACTGTTAAATCTACATTAGATTTTGATATAATTTCATACCATTTCCGTGCTCATCATTATGTAGCATCTCCTGAAGAAAAAAACTGATTAAATACAACTCAGAGGTATTAAAAAATGTTTATTGCAACCATACCTGCAGAGTTGTTACTTTGGATATGTTTTTAATGGTTACATCAAGTTAAATAACTTCCTTGCAATTATGCACGGGACATTTACCAATACTGCTAAATAACTAACGCATGAAGTATTAAGTTATAAGATTATAGTTTGAAAATGGTTTGAGTAATAGTTATTTTGGCGTTATTGAAAAAAAATAGAAAGAATTCTACATATTTCTACATGTGTCGATTATTATATACTTATTATTAACTTATATGTATTTATGGAACATATTTAGAGAATTTTGGAATTATTACATTGCAGGACACACCTTTTGAGAAAATGGAATACATGTCCAAATATTACAATGGAATGGGAGGTTAAAGTAACTGGAGAAATATACCCCATTAGTCTATAAGGGCATAATTAAAGAATGGGGAGAATTCCTACTTATCACATTTTATTTTTTTTCCTTTTGTTATCATTATTATTATCATTTTATTTTTTTGTCTTCAAACCTGATCGGCAGTTTAAATTTCAGAATTTTCAACAATTTCTATTTGGATCCGGGTATTTAAATGAACAACAAATCATTATTTCTCACGCGAGCACGCATTTTTTGATATGCGTGACTAAGGACACTATGTAAACTTAGATTTTATTGTTCAATTGTCCAACTTTGTCTTTACCGTAGGAGATATTTAAATAGAATATCAAATGAACATTAAATGACGATAAAAGCAATAAAAACACTGTAAAATATATAAAACAAACGGAAACCTTAACGTCAGTTTCAATGTGATAATGATCAAAATTTTCGTTTTATTGTAAAATATTAAAGCATGTCACATCGCCTTACATATAGCAATTTATAAGAATATCAGTATCAGTTACACATCTAATAAAAGTAATGATTCTTCAGAATTCTTTTAAATTATTGTATTTGACAAAAGCAACAGGAATATGTCAGGTAAAAATGACCAATAACCTTCAGGCAGGCTCTTAACCGTATTTGAATCATAACTAAGATGAGTATACCCTTTTCATATGCACACTGGTATTTAATAATGATAGGTTGTACAGCGTCGTTGCGAGATACAACGGAGTCAAACCACAAATCTTTTGTACTCACATATTTTCGCTCAATTTAACTTTACTGAGAGTTGATGGGAATTCTGGAATTAAAGCGCAAGGTACCCGGGCGTTTAAAAAAATATACTTTCTAAAATTTTATCTTGTAATTGTACATCTCTACAGTAATATAATTAAAATTGCCACAACAAAGTATCTCTAGTTTTTGCTTTTGAATTAATATGTAATTTAAGACACTATTTTAGGCTAAATGGATAACGCCAGTCGTTACTTTATTAATAGTGTACAGACAAAACTGAAATTTCATACGACAGATAAAATTTATCATGATTAATTCCAGCTATTCCAGCTAGGTCCCATTCTTGAAGAAAAATATAAAAGGTTTACTTAATAAGCAAAGCAAATTGTACAAGAATTTGTAACAGAGTGACAAACTTCCCTCGCCTAAGATAAGTGCTATTTTAAAAGGTTGAGGTATGGGTTTGGACTCCGGTTAAAAATCTTGGTTATGCCGAGTTGTGTTTCCTTTTCTAGAAACTCTAATTTTTTTTTTAAGTTTATTTATTGATAAGAAGAAATAAAACTTAACAAGCTTTGAATTTTTACTGTCATTTTGACCTTTGAGGTAGGGGTCTGAGTGTTGCACATGACATACCGTCTTATTATTGTCATAATTTGTTTCAAGGCATTTTGAATCCTTTGGTTGATGATCAAGTTATGGACTGGACACAAAGTATACCCTATAACAGAATATGTTAAGATTTGGCCCCAAGTGTGACATTAACATTAAAGCTAGAGGACCGTCGTTATGGCCCTGTTCGTCCCGTTATTGTTTGAACATTGTGGATTTTTTTTAAAATCCTTTAAAACAAAGATTTCAAAATCCCTGGACGATGAAAAAATATGGACGGACAAACCCCTGTTAAGGGTTTTCCTTCAAAATGTACCTTACATTTAAGAAAAGGGTCCGGGTGTTGCGCAAAACAGTCCCACAATGTGAGCATTTTACCCAAATATTTTTAAAAACCCATCATGTTTTAGCATCGACCCCCCTTTTTCCTTTTATTAAAGGGGGGGGTAAAATTTATGCGTATAACATGTCTCATTTATTGTAAACATTTGTACCAATCTTTCAAAAACCTTGAACATGCCCGGGACACAAAATTAAAAAAACCCTTAACAGATTTTTCAGCTTTGACCTTCAAGTTGACCTTGATTTTTAATATATCTTTTAAGGGACGACCGTCGTCTCAAAAATTGTTTAAAACCTTGAAAGAAAAAATAGGAAAAGCCAAAACATATACATTTGTAGTTATTAATGTATAGTTGTTATATTGACTTCTTTATGACAAAATGGAAATTTTCCTAGTTTTATTAATTTGCAAAAAGTGTTTCTACCTTTAATCGTTTAAAGAATTGGTTAAACTTTTGTCTTGGTATCACAATTTGTTCATCACCTGACTGATCATCGACTTGCTGAAACTAAAATAACAGAGGTTTATCACTACCTATATTTTTTATCTGTTTGTGTTGTAACACAGTTACAAATGTCGACTCTCTCGTGTGTTTTTATGCTTTTTGTATGCCCGAAAGAATTTTATGTTATACCCACTGGCGTCCGTCTGTCTGTACTTCCGTCCGTCCGTCTGTAAGCAATTTGGTTGCCTAAACAAAATTAAGTTTAATTTGGCCAACAATATTTAAACTTCTTAGGATGATTGTCCATATCAGGTAGGAAAAAATAATGCTTTCTGAAGCATAACATAACTTTCATTTGGCTTACAATGTTCAAACTTTATTGGGTGATTGCCAATTTGGAATAAAAGATCCATACCTATATTAGGGTCACAAGGTCAAAGGTCAATATCAACTGACCTTAATATTGTTAACAATTTTACAACTGTCAAACTTCATAGGATGATCACTTATATTGAGTACATTAATTATATGCCCTAAAAAATGTTTATATTATGTTATACCTCGGCGTCTGTCTGTCCATCCGTCGTAGCAATTTAGCTAACAAGAAAAAAACTTGCTGGTGGTGCTTTGGAAACAGCAACTGTATATATATGAAGGGTGTTCAGCTATGAATGCGGATTGTTTCTGAAGAAGGTAATACTTTATTTAATTCCCATGTCTTACAAATGTTTCACCTTCGGACACATAATGCTCTGTCTAGCGGTGCTCTTGATGCAAAATAAAATGATGAACGTCTTTCTTGTTTTGCATTTGTAATATGCCAGTGTTTCCGGAACTTGTATCGTTTACAAAAATCTTTCAGACATACACTGTATCACAACATGAATAGAAACTCACATTATTTCATGTCTATCACAAGACAAATGCATCTATTATCTAGTAAGTAATTGCAAGTTTAATGTGTAAACTTTGTGCAAATATCATCTTACATTCAATGAGGAATTTGATTAAAAACCCACCAATAAATAGCTTTATGCATAAACTCCAAACTGAAGTTATGTTTCCCTTATTAACATGAACAAATAGAACTAATGAAATATAATTTTCCACAAGGCGTTTTTAAATAAAATCAAACAAAAACAAAAATGTGGGA